TGGCCCTTGGCTTTGGGTCAATGGCATAATGAGTGACCCAAGCTAGGAGGCAGCAGGTCACCCTCCTCTAGAAGCAGTCAGAACACAAAGCACCCTTGGGAATTATTAGAATGTTTTGCCAACCAACCGTGAGAACCAGCCCACAGTCCATCATGCTTTTAAAAGCCCTGTACTATTAACTAGCCTCATTAGGATTACCTGAATGAGGCAGGTGCAGAATTGAAAAAAATTCAGGCCAATGGGCATTTTAATTATAAAATTTGTAAGGAAATATTTGAAAACACAAAGTTTAGCCATATTGATTTTATTTTATCACTAGAGGCCTGGTGCACAAAATTTGTGCATGGGTGCAGTCCCTAGGCCTGGCCAGCAAATGAAGTGCGAGCATCTGGTGTGGAAGGGCAGGTCCCAGCTGACCTCTGGGCCCTGGGCAGCACCTGGGCTGCTGGGCCCCCCGTGGACCCCCCTCCGCCTGAGTCACAGCACCCGAGTCCCCATGCAGAGATGCAGTGAACATGGCCAGACACCGGGGGACAGGGCACAGTGTGGGGAAGCTGGGCCAGCCTCGCAGACCAGCTCCTGCACGAATTCATGGGGGGCCTGACCAGCACTTGCGATCCTGGCGGCTGCTGCTTGGCTCACCCAGTACAGGTGTGGGGCGGGCTCCCCGCGGGGGCCTGGCACCTGAGCGCAGAGGCTTCCCCAGTGTGCAAACCCTGGCGTCCCTGGGGAGGGTAGCAGGGGGACTGAGAGCGAGCTTGGTGGACACCCTGCATCCTTACCACACTTCTGTCCCTGTCCCCCTTGGCCCCCAGGTAGCTGGCGAGAGGTCACAGCCTCCTGCCCGGGTGCCACAGGAGGTTGGCCACAACCACCCACCCCCAGTTCCCTGGGGCCCAGCCCTGATCAGGCAATCAGGGCCTTGGGGAGGGACTGAGAGGTTGGCCGGCAGGCCCATTTGGCAATGAGTGTCTGCCCCCTAGTGGTCGGCGCATGTCATAGCAACTGGTCATTCAAGTGGTTCTGGTCACTTAGGCTTTTATATACGTAGATGATCAATTTTCTGGAGAGCCATTGCTATTGCAAAGTCAACAAGGCCCCTGACACCCTTACCAACCTTTTAGTTCTCAGAGACGATCTGGAAACATCCTTAGCAATTGGCACTCTGTTATGCTTGCATTTTTACATACCTATCACTCATTCCTTGTGACCCTTGCTCTTCAGAAACACTAAGCTGCTCATCCTCACAGGTATAGTCCACCTCCTGTGTATTTGCCTCCTCTGTCAGGGAAATGAAGTCCCCTTTCTCCAGCCTCCTCATCGCAGCTCAGGTGTCACTACCTTGTCTCCCCATTCCACACCCATGACCCAGGCTGGGCTACATGTCCTGCTTCTATGTTCTATGCATGGTACATCTTATGATGGCTACATGGGCTCATTATCGGCTTATGGGTGTCCCCAGTTAGGCTGAGAAGTTTGAAGTCTGGTCTTTATCTCTTCATTTCTTTAAAACAAGTGCTTCCTAGTGCAGGACTTGGCCCAAAGTTTATTAAATGAATATATAATTAGAAGGATAGGAGGAGATGAAATAGCATTTGTTGCCCAGATGCCCTATAGTACTGTGGTGGTGAGGATTTCATCAGAGGATTTCTGTCGACTGAATGATGGTGGATCCACAATCTGAAGGTGAAAATTCTATGGCTCAGAGAGTATATGCAACTTCCCAAAGTCACACAGCTGTAGTGGGAAAGCTGGGGTGTGACAACAGCTCTCTCTGGTCTATAAGCTCTTAGCTTCACCTACACCTCCCTGTGGCCCTTCACTTACACTTCTCTGTATCCCTCACTCTAGCAGGGAGGCAAACATTTTTTGTCAATAATAATCTTTGAATCAACTGTAATACTTTTACAGAATGGCTTTCCATGGGAGGAATTCCACAAATGTTTTTTAGATGAATGGATGAATGCCTGGACTTGGGGAAATTTCCACTGCTGAACAAAGGTGGCTGACATGGTATTGTATTATTCCTTTATAAAATGTACTGATATCATCACTATAGCGATGTAAAAGCTATAATATTATACACTAAATAGAAGCATAATATTATAAAATAACATTGAAGAGAGGGTTTCAAGAAAAATGTAACAAATAATGAAAGAAAATAAAGTCAACCTCCCTGCTAGAATTGGATTCTCTGATTTTGAATGATCTGTAAAGTTATTAGCACATATGGTTCTAATTTTATGAAATCTGTGGTTTGTTGATTACCTAAGCAGTCATGCACTATGAGCAGCACACTGAAAGGTGAGGACAAGTAAACAGGGTTGTGTTTTCTTACTGGGAGAGAATTACAGGGAAATGAAGGTAATTGGATGTCTTAGGTCAGTGGTCGGCAAACTGCAGCTCGCAAACCACATGCGGCTCTTTGGCCCCTTGAGTGTGGCTCTTCCACAAAATACCACGTGCAGGCACGCACGTACAATGCGATTGAAACTTCGTGGCCCATGCGCAGAAGTCAGTATTTTGTGGAAGAGCCACAATCAAGGGGCCAAAGAGCCGCATGTGGCTTGCAGTTTGCCGACCACTGTAGGTGACTAGATCAATCCAGGCAATAAAACCATAACTGCCCTTTACCGTGCTCCCTTGCTGTGGCAGGCACTTAGCATATGTTAAATTAATTCATGTCTTGGCTGGCATGGCTCAGTGGTTGAGCTTTGACCTATGAACCAGTAGGTCAAGGTTTGATTCCCAGTCAGGGCACATGCCTGGGTGGCAGGTTTGATCCCCAGTGAGGGGCATGCTGGAGGCAGTTGATCAATGATTCTCTATCATCATTAATGTTTCCATCTCTCTTTCCCTCTCCCTTCCTCTCTGAAATCAATAAAAATATATATATTTTTTAAAAACTTTCCCCCAAATTTTATTTAATTCACTGGATTTCCTATCCACATTTTACAGGTGAGATTTCAGAGAGGTTAGGTTGTTGCCCAAGAGAGGTTGCAATGCCAGGAGTTACACCCAGATCCATCTGACACCAGACACAGAATCCAGTATATTGTCTGTAACTCTCACTACCACAGAACCTGCAGTCTGCTGGCTGTTCCTGAACCTTGCTGAGTCCATCACCATATCCCCAGGGTAGACTGATATTTTCATCCATCATAGGTGAAGTCAGGGCTACTTGTATGAGCGAAGTGTACAGTGGACTCATTAGAAAGTACTTTAATCTGCAGGCTAATAGACATTTTCAATATGCAGTCTGTAAGGGTGTATTTAACAGTACAAAGGTTTGGCCATATTGGCTTTATTTTAGCACGATTGACGTCCTGGAGACACACTGCCATTGAAGAAAGTAAACAAGGTCCCTGGAACCTTCCTTGGAAACAGCCCAAGATTCCTCAATACCTCAATCCCCTCCTCCATCCCTGCCAAGCACCCCCACATCCCTTTACTCATAAACAGAAACACTTTGCTTCAGAAAGAATTGTGATTCTCTGTTCAAGGACAAAGGTGACCCTCAAGGACATGTCATAGGTCACAGTAGTAAGAGTGAGGTGTCCTGTTCTCTCAAGAAACAAAAAAGGTCTGTTCTTTCATCATTGCCTCCATGAGTAATAAGCCTAGATAGTACTCCCTCCACTCTCGGGGATGTCCTCACCATAGAACAGGCCAGGACAGTGCAGGACCTCAGGGAAAACAGCCTGTCCTGGTTTGTTCTAGGCAAGAAGGGCACCTTTTCATTGCCTTGCAGCTAACTGATGCTGTAAGATGGTTGGGGAATTCTTTGGCTGGTTAGGCCACTCAGCCCTATCCTGCTTAAGCACCTTGACACAGGAAGCAATGGGTTTGTGTTCTGGGACCTTTAGGAGACACACCCAATAGTGAATGAGGAGGCTGGAGACAGGCATAGAAAGGCAGGGTCGGGAGCTCAAGACAGACTTTTGTGACTGACCCTCCACCTCCCTTCAGAAATAAAGAAGAAATTTTTATACTATAGTCGAAAAATAACAAGAGCTGATATATGAACTCCTTGGAAGAAAGCCTTTGCAAGCATAAAGTACAATAACATATTTGTGGAATGTACCCGTTTTTAATGAAAGATACCCATTTACAAACTTACTCAGGATAAACAGACTTGACGTTACACAATATAAATAGCTGGCTTCAGGGTCATTAATTGGCAATATTGGCTTCCTTACAGTCATTGCACTCTTCTCTCTCTCTCTCTAAAGTTGGAAGGTATGTCTTCTCCAATGCTTTCCTCACTCCTTCTAACATACCTTAAGCCTTACATCTTCAGAGGTAGAAAGTAGCTGGGAGGCATAAGCAATGACTCTGGAGAGACTCATCATTCAGAATCAGCAAGAAATACCCTTCTTGCTGTTTCTCCTTTATGTTGGGGAATTAAATAAAGCAACTTCAATTTGCATGACTCTTAGTTCTCATGTCTGTCTCTTTTCCACATCACTCTAGTCTGCTATTAGACAACTGACTTTTGTGATTATATTCATCCTTGCCAAGAGTTGACTTTGCAAACAGGTAGCCAGCTCTCTTGAACTTTCTAGAAGGAGAATTAGATCTCACTTGGCGCACCTGGGTAAGATCAGTCCTACTTGCTCAGTAAAAGCAAATCCTGAAAATGTTATTTATTCTACCACTCCCACCATCCTCCATGGATCATTAACCCATTTGGGTTCCAAGAACTCAATGTACCACCCAAGGATGGCATCCATAATAGTGCCAACATCTCTGGAACTCAGACATATTCTGGTTTCAGAATCTATCTGACATAAAAAAATACACCAACAGTTTGATAACTGTTACCCCCCTAAATGAAGGCACCTCCTTTCAACAGGGCAAATTCAAATAGTCTATACTGAAATGACTCATCTTTATGTATAAGGACTTTAATTTACCTCATTATAGTTCAAAATAGAGAAGACACAGGATACTAACTCTTCCTCCCTTTTCTTTTTCTCACATGTGCTGATGAAACAAAGAAAAGAAGACAAGAGGAATCTATTTCTAGGATATGAATTTTGTTTAGAGGGTGGAAAATCAGAATATTATATAGGGCAACAATGATCCTGGCTATCCAAATATTAAATTTCTTTATTTCCTCTACTAAAAATAGAATTGTTAAGGTGGCCATAAATGTAAGAGTTACTTAATAATTGTCAGTAACTGCAGGCATTCTAATTATTAGTTCCTAAATAAGAAAACTAAGGCCAAAGAAAGTGATGAGTTTTTTCCTGAAGGAAATAATTTATAATTATAAAAAAAACTCCTCAACCACAGTCAAAATTAACTTCTTAGAATAGTCAGGACACATCTTCACAAGAGCAAGCATGTCCTGTAGCTAAATGGGAGACACACCACCCCTCCCCACCAATGGGATGGAAGACAGCTGGAGTTGTCTAACACATTTACAGTATGTCACCTCTTAGACTCTGTGTTTCAGAAATCAAACATTACTCCATTTTATCTCAAAAACATGACCTCAGATTATGCTATTCTTTTGCCAGTTAAGTTTAAATAAAATCTTGTAGATATTATAGCAATGGTTCTCAATCAGAGACCTGGGATAACGCTAAACATCCTACAATGCACAGGTCTGTGTCCCACAAAAGAATTACCTGGCCAAATATGTCAACAGCGCCAAGACTGAGAAAACCTGTATTAGAGAAAAGCTGATAAATGTCTCTTTTTCCCAATTAAGTTTATAATATGCTTTTATCATTCAACCATTTGCCAAATATTTATTGAGCATCTATAGGGCACTGGGAAGAAGAAAAACAAGGTCACTGCCTTCCTGAGCCACACAATTCAGAAAGGAAATAAGTCAATAAGATAATTGTAGATTGTGGTATCCAGTGCAAAAGAAACACATGGGAAATGACAGAGAGTAACTGGGAGGTGCGTTAGATAATATGGTCAAGGAAGGATTACCTGCTGTGGAAATAAGGACGTTTTGTTCAGCAAATAACAGAAACCCCTAATTCAAGTTGGCTTAAAGAGTAAGGAGATGTTTAAATTCACATAACTTAAATCCAGAGATAGGGCTAGTCTCAGGACTAGCTTAAAAACTGGGCTCCAGCCGAAACCGGTTTGGCTCAGTGGATAGAGCGTCGGCCTGCGGACTGAGAGGTCCCAGGTTTGATTCCGGTAAAGGGCATGTGCCTGGGTTGCGGGCATATCCCCAGTGGGAGATGTGCAGGAGGCAGCTGATCAATGTTTCTCTCTCATCGATGTTTCTGGCTCTCTGTCTCTCTCCCTTCCTCTCTGTGAAAAATCAATAAAATATATTAAAAAAAAAAACTGGGCTCCAACTTCTACCCAATTTTAAATGCCACCAGCTTCCTCTTCAGGAAGTTAGTAAAGTGTCTCATACTGATGGCCCCTACACACTCACCTGTTCTAATAAATAGTTAAGATGGACTGATTAAATAAAAGGTGCTATAAAAAATGTACAAATTAGCTTCCACCGCAATAGGAGTTGAAATAGAAGTTCTGGCTTTTCTTGAATAATTTTACTAATACTATGATTTGTGGAATGCCTACTAATATACTAGATGTTTTATTTATATCTAATTGTTCTAAATTCCCATCAAGATGGGTATGCTCTCCATTTTACAGATGAGGAAACCGAGAGCCACAGAAGAATTGGAAGATTACATAGCTATTACCTAATAAAGACATGTTTAATGCTTTACATACATTTTCAATTATTATATACAGCCTATGGAGTGGGATACAGGAAGGCTTAGTAATTTCTCAAGGTCACACAGTTGGCAAGTTAATAAGTATATATAGTCAAAATTCAAGCCCATGAAGTCTAACTCCAGGAGGGCTGGTGCTCTTACAAGCTGTACTGTTGAGTATATTACTATTGCCCCAGGACTTAAACCTGATCCAAATCTATCTGACTCCAAAGACTTAAAACTGTTCCTTTCTCTTTTGTGTACAAGTCTCTTCATATAGAATATGAGAATCAGACCAAAAAATCTCAAAGTTCTGTATCTGTTCAAAAATGCCATTATTACTATACTTACCTGGCATGGGAGATACCAGGATAAGGCAGGTGGTTTTCCTAGGGCAAGGCTCACTCTTTGCAAATCCTGAAAAATGTTATTTATTCTATCACTTCCACCATCCTCTGTAGATCATTAACCCATCTGTTGCAAGCAGGTAACCATCTCTCTTGAACTTTCTAGGAGGAGGATTTCATCTCACTTGGCACACCTGGGTAAAATTAGTATGACTTGCTCAATAAAAACAAATTCTTAACGGGATCTACAAGTAACTTGGTGGCAACTACATCAGCATGTAATCCAGGTGTGCTGACCCTGGGATTTCCCCAACTGTGGGAAACTTGACTGCATAATTTGTGGTAGAGGGGACTCGTTCACATTCTCCCCTAGGGAAAAAAAAATGCTGAGTCCATGGATTTTAATATAAGGTTTTGATATGCATAAAAAATGGTGGTGGGGGAGTTTTTTTGTAAAGTCCAACAAAAATAATTATACTTAATTATATTTTCGAATTTAAGAATGCAATCACCTTGTCAGTAGATTGGAGTACCGTACCATACAGCAAAAGGTGGCAGGGTCAGTTGCTGCTTGGGCTTCTACCATCATTTCATTAGGAGTCCTTTCAAAGAGCAAGACTTTTAAACTTAAACAAAAGGGGCATAAGATGGAGGCAGAATTGGTGGGTCTTTCTCACACCTTCTCCCAGAATCAAGCTGGAATTAAATATAAATTTGGGAATATTCAGCTGAAGACTAGCTTAAGAGGAGACTTTTTTAAAAAACTAAGGGCAGAACCTACTTCAAGACTGCACCTGTATAACAGCTCATACAACATGGTCAGGCTTGACCCTCACAGCCAGCCAGCCTGAGAGGAGATACCAGTGATGAATGGGACAACAGTCAAGACCCAATTACAACAGGAGAGCCAAAATAACCCACAAAAGGGACACTCCTAGAACATCCAGCTCAGGAGTTCAAGGAGCCCACACCACAGGGTCCCACAAGACATTTAATATAAAAGGCAACCCTCACGAAGACTGAAAGTCATAGGACTCATATCTAATACATAGAAACAAACAGAAAGACATTTCAAAATGGGGACAAAAGAAACAAGCTCCAAATAAAAGAAAAGAAGGCATCTCCAGAAAAAGAACTAAATGAGATGGAGGTAAGCAATTTATCAGACATAGAATTCAGAGTAATGGTTACAAGGATGTTTAAGGAACATAGTGAGAACTACAAGGAACTTATGGGATCTACAAGTAACTTAGTGGGAACTAATCAGCATGTAAAAGACTATAGGGGGGATTAAAAATGGTAGCAGACTAAGTGGATGCTGCACGGACATGCTCTCAGGAACAAACTGGTATTACAACTAAAATACAGAAAAACTTCCTGAATAATCAATGGAAAACTCGCAGGAGAGAACCCTGATACCCAAGGACCAAAAGTGGAGACCCCATAGGGACTGGTGGGAGGGGCAGAGGTGTGAAAGGGCTGGCCAGGTGCCCACAGACAGCAACTGAAGTCCCGTAGAGATATCTCAGCTGTCGGGGGTTGCCACTGAGAACTCTGGGATCTATCTAATCCCCCAGCAGAGAGTACCAAAACTGAGGAGGGTACCCACATAACATCTGGCTGTGAAAAGCAGCATGGTGCTGTCTGCTAGGGAGTAACAGCTGAAAATTCAGGCACCCTCTTAAAGGGCCAACACACAAAATTCCCTGTGGAGCCACCCACCTGTGCTCCGGCAGAGGGAGGGTGAAGTGGATGGGAGCTATGAGAGCAGAAGCCAAGACTGGGGACTCAGGAGATAGAGCTCAAAAGGCAGACACCCCAATTTTCCTGGGCTGAGTCATTCCCTTACACAGAAGAGGACATCTTTCCCATATACACAGTTGCCTTACCTGCTGGGAAAACAGTTGACTCGCCCTACTAGAAAACACCTTGCCCTGAGGCCACTTAAGAGATTAAAAATAACAATTAGCCTCTCTCTCACATGGATGTTTCTCTGTTTCTCTCTCTCATCTTCCCTCCCTACCTTTCACTCTCTCTGAAAAGCAATGGGAAAAATATCCTTAGGTCTGGATTTTTTAAAAAATCACTTGATCATATCAATAAACATAGAAAAAGCATTTGACAAAATCCAAAACCATTTCTGATAAACACTCTCAGCAAAGTGGGAATAGAGGGATAATACCTCAACATAATAAAGGCTATACTAGTATATGACAAACCTACAGTCAACATCATACTCAATGGGCAAAAACTAAAACCATTAACCCTAAGAACAGGAAGAAGACAGGGATGTCTACTTTCACTGCTCTTAAAGTACTGGAAGTCCTAGCCATAGCAAACAGGGAAAAAAAGTAAAAAAATCCACATTTGAAAGGAGGAAGTAAAACTGTCATTATTAACAGATGACATGATACTGTATATAGAAAATCCTAAAGACTCCACCAAAAAACTACTAAATTTAATAAATGAATTTGGCAATGTAGCAGGATACAAAGTTAACACCCAGAAATCGGTGGCATTTTTTTGTTGCTATTGTTAATCCTCACCCTGAGGATATTTTTTCATTGATTTTGAAAGAGAGTGAAATGGAGGGGGAGAGACAGAGAGAAATACTGATGTGAGAGAGAGACATCGATTGGTTGCTTACCGTATACCCCGGACCAGGCCCAGGAGTCTGCAACTGAGGTATGTGTCCTTGACCAGAATGGAAGCCTGGACCAGTCAGTCTGCAGCCCTCTATCCACTGAGCCAAACCAGCCAGGGCAATCGACGGCATTTTTATACACCAATAATTAGCTCTCAGAGAAACTAACAACAACAACAAAAAAATAATCCCATTTACAACTATAACAAAAAATAATTCAGAAATTTAGGGGAATAATCCTAGCAAAGGAGATAAAAGACCTGTACTTGGAAAACTAAAATATGTTGAAAAAAGAGATAGCGGAAGATATAAGCAAGTGGGAAGATATATTGTTTTCATGCATTGGTAGAATTAACATAATTAAAATGTCCATACTACCCAACACAATCTATAGATTCAATGCAATCCCCACTAAAATACCAACAGCATAATTTACAGACCTAGATCAAATACTCCAAAACTTTATATGGAACCAAAAAAGACCCTAAATAGCCCCCACAATCTTGAAAAAGAACAACAAAGTTGGAGGGATCACAATACCAGATATCAAGCTATAGTACAAAGCCATTGTAATAAAAACATCCAGGTACTGACACAAGAACAGACATATAGAATAGAACAGAGAACCCAGAAATTGACCCAAGCCATTATGCTCAATTAATATTTGACAAAGGAAGAAAGAACATACAGTGGAATAAGACAGTCTCTTCAATAAATGGTGTTGAGAACTCATACAAGTTAACAAAAGGAAGACAAAGAATTCAATTAAATGAACCTAAATGGACACTTCTCCAAAAAGGACACACAGATGGCCAACAGATATATGAAAAAATGCTCAAGGTCACTAATTATCAGAGAGATACAAATTAAAACTACAAAGAGGTGTCAACTCACACCTGCCAGAATGGCTACTATCAATAAATTAACAAACCACAAGTGCTGGAGAGGATGTGGAGAAAAGAGAACCCTAGTACACTGCTGGGGGAAATGCAGCCACTATGGAAAACAGTGTAGAGTTTCCTCAAAAAATTAAATATGGAATTGCCATTTGACACAGCAATCCCACTGGGAATATATTCTAAGAATCCTGGAACACCAATCAGAAAGAATATATGCAGCCCTATGTTCATAGCAGTGTTATTTACAGTAGCTAAGATCTGGAAACAGTCAAGTGACCATCAGTAGATTAGTGGATAAAAAAGTTGTGGTACATTTACACAATTGAATATTATGCAACAATAAAGGATTTTTTACCCTTTGTGACAGCATGGATGAACCTAGAAATCATTATGGTAAGGGAAATAAGCCAGTCAGAGAAAGACAAATATCACATGACCTCACTTACATGTGGAATCTAATGAACAAAATAAACGGATGAACCAATTAGGACAGAGACATGGGTGCATGAACAGACTGACAGATCTCAGAGGGTGGGGGTGTGGGGTGTGTGTGACAAGATTAACCAAAGAACGAATATGCATATATGCATAGCCCATGGACATGGACAAT